GCTCACTTCAGTAGTCTGCACAACTGTTTAGCTCAACATTAATTCAAAGGAGTTGTCATAATGTCATGCTCTAGTTGTTTTTTGTTTGTTTGTTTGTTTGTTTTTCCACTTTCAAACATTGTAAAACAACTTTCAACAGTCTGCCATTGTTAAAATAAAGGTATTGCCACGTAGCGTATCAGATATAAGGGTGTTAACTCTGATACAGAAAAAAGTTACTTATATTACAGTAATATATATATATATATATATATATATATATATATATATAATTGCACTTGATGTATTATATACTAGAGCTGCTGAAAAATTGTGATCAAACACCAAATTGGGGTAGGGGTCACCTCTTTGATCTGATTGAAAAGTTTTCATCGCCTCCTTATATAATGGTGAAAAATTACTAATTCGTCGTCTTCTTCTTCTTCTTCTTCTTCTTCTTCTTCTTCTTCTTCTTCTATGTCGTGTTTCTTCAGGGTGTTGATGATCATGGCTCTCCACAATTTCCTATCCTTTGTAGCTCTTAGATAACAATGCAAATTAAAAGAGGAATTGAGGGAAAGTTGGTATCTGACAAGGAGGAATGCTACCTGGAACTACGAGGACTCATTTATATTTTTTAAATAAGATAATGACACATTTTTACGCAAAAGTATGTTGAACTGTTATGTCTGCCTACACTCCGTCAAAAATGAAAACAAAAAATGAGACGATTGCTGAGAATACTATGGACGGAGCATGTGACAAATGAGGAAGTTCTACCGAGAACAGGAACTACAAAAAAACTATTTATAACAGTCAGAAAGAGAGAGAGCTGTAATTTTTTGTACGCATAACGGGGAAAGAAGACTTGGAGAGTTTAACACCCTCATAACATATCAAAGATAAGATAAGCAGAGAAAGAAGTGTCTAATTTATTTGACTATGTTGAGTGAATTCATGGAGGAATAAGAACTACAAATAGATATAAAGGATTGTAAATGAGCAAGAGTTGCTGAGAGACACAATAGACAGGAAACTGGAGAGAGCTACGATCGTTCCATCATAGGTGAACGTAGAAATCTTTAAAATGTTGCTTGGGATAGCAGTTTTTGTTAAATCTTGTTGGAATTTTTTCGATGAGAAATTAGTAATATATGCTTTACTATTCGGCTCGTCTAGGTTGTTATACTCATACCATTTCGGCAGATTAACTCTCTGGCCTTCTTCAGGTGTCTTCATACTCTATAACTGTTTTGAAATTTCGAACCAAACCCTTTATTCAATCCACAGCGAGTAGATTGTTGTTATTCTGCTTTTCTACGTTTAGGAGATCTTTATGTGAATAAGACCGGTTCGTATTAACTGATGTGAGTTATCTCCCTTAACCAAGGAAAGGGGAATGAGAACAATCTGTTGTCTTAGACTGAATAAAGAGTTCAGTTTAAAATTCCGAAAAGATTGCCGAGTATGATGACAGACACCCGAAGAAGGCCGGAGGGCGCAAGAGCCGAAACATTGTGAGAATAACAGCCAAGATGAGCATGCTGGTCTGAATAGAAAAACGTATAAAATATTTTAGAAAGTTAAGGTTTTTATATGTAAATCTAATGCATAATTATGTTGATAAAGGATTATAGGTGGTCCTAATTCAAGACAAGTCATGCAATAAAAGGTATTTTTAGCATATACACTCACGGGCTACTTAAATAAACATACGTGAACAAATACTTGTTTATGAACATTTCTAATCAGTCAATGATGTGTCAGCACTTTGATAGAAATAGGCATTTAAACTTACAAATCGGGAAGACTAAAATCAAACTAGTACATAAATTTCTGGGAAGTGTTCTAACATAAGATGGTAAGTGTGACATCGAGATCAGAAGACGTATTGGCATGGCTAAAGATGCATTCCAAAAGCTAAGCAGCGTAATAAGTGTTGAAACTTGACTAATGCATGGAATAATAATGCCACACAAAATGTACTTAGAACAAAATGTATTGAAACAAGAAAGTGTACACAATATTTACATATAGTCTTTTGTATATTCCAAGTAAGACCGTTCCTGGAGAATGTGTTGATTGAGTCGCAGTCGGGCAGAGTCTCTGGTTGAATCTCTTGATTCCTCCCTCTCTTCCCGGTACCAACCATATTTATATGGTCGGTACTCCTTTATGCAAATTAGGTGGATCCTACCACAACAATAAGAGACAGAAAAATTTCGTTAAAAACAAAGAAAAGAGTACTGGACTGTTACGTAATATTTGACCTCCTGTATGGCAGTGAATGCTGTACAATATCCTCAAAGATGGAGAAGAGACTTGAATCAACAATGTGGCTCTACAGAAAAATGCCGAGGATATCGTGGACCGAATATGTGAGCAACGACGAAGTTTTGGAGAAAATGGAAATGGAAACTTGTCTTTAACATCAGGAAGAGGCAGTTGAAATTTCTGGGGCACGTAATGAGAAAGAACGGCTTGGAAAACCTGATACTCACATGACAGATTGGGAGAAGAGGGACAGAGGAAAGCAGCGCGTAACATATCTGATGCGCTTGATCAAATGGATGGTAGAACGGTGTTTGGGAAAAATAACAAAATGACAAAGAGCTATAATAGACCGAAAGACGAGGAAGGCCATGATCGCCTACATCCTGAAGGTTCACGGCACATAAAAGAAGAAGATAGCGACTTTTTGAATTCAAAACAGCCTGGAGAGGGTTGGGCTCCGTTAGACGATCTTGCCCAAAACACATCACTTCTACAGCGACAGAAGTACATGCACTGCCCCTACGACTCGAAGGAGTAACGGGACTCGTGATCGTGAATTTCTGTTAGTGTTTTAATTACAAAATTAGTATAAGCGATTTGTAAATCCGAAGGCGTATTGGAATAGACAAGGAAGCATTCCAAAAGCTAAGCAGAGTACCAAAAAATTGAAAAACTATGTTAGAAACAAGGAAAAGAGTACTAAAATGCGATGTGATATCTGTCCTCCTGCATCGAAGATGAAGAGGAGACATGAAGCAACGTAAATATGGTTCTACAGAAGGATGCTGAGAATACCGTGGGCCGAACATTTAAGCAACGACGAAGTTTTGGAGAAAATGGAAATAAAAAGGAAACTAATACTTAACACCAGGAAGAGACAGTTTAGGTTTCTGGGGCACATAATGAGAAAAGAGAGCTTGGAAAATCTGATACTCACGAGACAGACAGAGGGCAAGGGTGGGGCAGAGGAAAACCATAACATACTTGAGTAAATGGATGGCGGAACAGGGCGTAAGAGAAATAACAGAAACACAAAGTTTATTAACAGCTACAAAGGAGAGGAATTTGAGAAGAGGAATTTGAGGAGAGCCATGATCGCTTACGTTCTAATCCGTCTATTTCAGAGAATCGATGACATAATTCATGGATTTCTTGGAGACAAGTACAAAATCACTTAATTTCCGAGTTATTGATTTCTGGAAACCAAATTGGCCATCTTTGTTTATTGATAATTTGTTTATGCTCAATTACAAAACAAATCTCTAAACATTATATTTATTTTCTTTCTTTTTAATCTTCTTACCCGCATTCACCATTGTGTTGCTTTGAATTAGTGGATATTTACGACATTGAAGGAAATAGATGGATCCACCACAACCTCTTTTCAGTGAAGACGGTTTCTCTTTTCTTTTTTCTTTTTTAATGTTAAATCCTTTCAGGATGTAAGCGATCATAGTTCTCCACAGATTCTTTATTATTATTATTATTATTATTATTATTATTATTATTATTATGTGTGATTTTCCTTGCTTTTTGGGAATGATATTTGAGTGGTTTTCCTTGGTCTTCTCAACGGGTTGGAATTCAAAACATTTTATTTCTCTTAGACTGGTTACCGCCCAAGGCTAGAGAGACAAGTCTATCCTGCTATTTAACCCATAGCTATGGGGAGAAGAGATCGTGTCATCTCTTTCCCAAGAGTTTTTGTCCGAAAGCGAACGCAACAGGCTAGGCTGAAATTTGAAATCGGTTTGCCGATTCCATTTCCGCGCCAGTAGCCGTTATGCTACTCGCTCATCCCAGAGATAACTAACTACTAAGTGTTTAATCAATGGTTAGGAATTTAAACAAGAATTCCATCTCTACTTTGAAAAGGCATTTGAGATCAGGGTCTTCCTTCTCTTAAATGAGTTGAAAATCTTTAAATAGATTTTATCATTAAAATAAATACAAAATTATTTTCTTAGTGGATTTTACGTTTCAGAAGTTAATTGGATGAAATTTCTGTAATCAATCCACAATTATGAAAATGCTTAATTACGAAATTTCAGGTGAGCGGTGATGATTAATCCTCTTGTGCCATTTCGAAAAAGAAAGTTTACATACATAGACATATATATTTATCTTCGATTTGTTTAAAAAAAGTTCTACTCTTAATATAAAAAACAAAAATCAGCATTATTTAGAATAACAGAGGGTACATAAGCATATATATATATATATATATATATATATATATATATATATATATATACAGTAGAACCTCGTAGTACGAATGCACCATTATATGAACAACTTGCTTTACGAGGTGCCATTCGTGAGAATTTTTGTATCGTAGGACAAGTAAAGATTCACAGTACGAGCAACCCTCATATACACGGAAGCAGTCGGTGACTGAGATAAAAGGGAATCATTGCCAGCTAATGTCATCTATTTCTAAGAAACAACATGGTCAAAGGCAAGGTGAAGCACATTTGTGAACGCCTGACGTCCAGAACATTTATTCATTCTATTGTAAAAAATTCTTCGAAGTACTTATCACAAATAACGTCACCTATCAACGCTATCTATTGCCTCTTTTAGTTAGCGACCACCATCTCGCTCATTCAAATTTTCATTTCGTAGCGATAACACCCTAATCGTTTTGTTTCAGAGAATTTTCTGTGAAATCTTGCGTTTTTTGGATTTATTTAACCGTAGATTCGAAGAAAGTAAGTGTTAAAGATAGAGGTAATAAAAAGAACTAATTACATTAGAAGTGAAGAAAAAATAATAGAAAAATACGAGAGAGGAATGCGTGTAGTGGACTTGGCAAAGAAATACGACAGAGCGACGTCACCATCCTGAAGCAGAAAGACGAGATAAAGAGTGTTACACCAGCAAAGGGTGTCTCCAGGCTGTCCAGGCAAAGGACTAATATCGATAAGGAGATAGAAAAGCTGCTTCTCTTTTGGATTAACGAGGAGCAGCTTGCAGGTGATACTCTGACGGAAAAGGTTATTCCTGAGAAAGTCCGAGTACTGTATGGGGATCTCCAGAAGCAGAAGTTGGGAGCATCGACGCAAGAGACTCCAGCAGAAGAGTTTAAGGCCAGTCGGGGCTGGTTCGACAATTTTAAGTAGCGAACTCGTGTGCACAACGTCGTGAGACACAGTGAAGCAGCTAGTTCTGATAAGAAGGCAGCCAATAAATTCATGAAAGAGTTCAGTTCGCTTATCGCAAAGGAGGGATATGTCTCTCAACAAGTGTTCAACTGCGATGAGACTGGACTGGAAGAAAATGTCCAGGAGGACGTACATCACTGCCGAGAAGAAGAAGAAGAAGAAGAAGAAGAAGAAGAAGAAGAAGTCAGGCCACAAGCCTATGAAAGATAGGCTAAGCCTCATATTCTGCACTAATACAAATGGTAATCTAAAAAATCAAGCCCCTGCTTGTGTATCATTCGGAGAACCCCCGGGCGTTCAAGGCGCATAAGATCCAGAAGAGGGAGTTGCAGGCCATTTAGAGGGCTAACAGTAAGGCCTGGGTCATAAAGCAATTTTTTGTAGAATGGATCAACAACGTTTTCGGCCCTCAAGTCCACACGTTCCTCAAAAAGAACGCTCTTCCTATGAAGGCCCTACTCATCGTCGATAATGTCACTGAACGCCTTCCAAACCTCTGCGATGAAATCTTGGAAAACTTTAAAGTTCTTTACCTACCATCGAACACGACCCCTATCTTGCAGACCATGGACCAACAAGTGATTTCTAATTTTAAGAAATTGTATACCAAGCACCTGTTTCGTTGGTGCTTTGATGTTACCGAGAATACAAACATTGAGAATTTCACCACAGACAAGCGCGGAGTCGATGAGATAGTGTCTCTTGGCTAATCTTTGGGCCTCGAGGTTCAGCGGGTGACGTTGACGAGCTCGTCGACGAGCACAGAGAGGATCTAAGAACAGAGGAACTTTAGCTGCTTCAGGAGCATCAAAACATGGAGGAGGTACAGGTACTAGCCAAGGAGGAAAGTGTGTCGGAGGTTTCCCCCACGAGTGAGATCAAAATAGTTCCGGCGATGTGGAAAAAGTGCACGACTTTGTGGAAAAATACCACCCACCAAAAATTAAGTGCAAGTCGTGTGGCTGCTTTGTTCAATGAAAATTATGTTGACTATTATCGTAGCATTTTGAAATCAAGAACAAAACAGATTTCTGTTGATAAATTTCTAAAGAAACGACCTGCAATTGCCAAAAGTGAATCAAATGCCACAAAAGTCCCTAGGTTTTGAGTGAAAACGCCAGAAACATTCTTATGAAAGGTTTTTAGTTTAATAAAAGCTGTTTATTTCTTTCATTCTCTCTTATCATGTTCTTATTACATGGACTTTTTGTGATATAATTTCTTACTGTCCATTTTCTATTTTTTTTTTAAATTCTAAGATAGACATTATGGATCCGTTGGGAGAGATGAAACAAATTAATTAATCTTCCATTTATTTCAAAGGGAAAAATGCTTTGTAATATGTGGAATTTGCAATACGAGCTCGGTCTGGGAACTAATTAAATTCGTACTGCGAGGTCCTATTATTTATATATATATATATATATATATATATATATATATATATATATATATATATATATATATTGTTTATACGTTTTTTTTATAGATACACACATTTAAGTAAATGTTCTGTTCATAATAAGCAATATCAACAACATTTACCGGCCTGAATGTCCGAGAAGTCTTGTAGTTTAAAAACAGTAACTGAGATTTTTCGGACATTCAGGCCAGTAAATGTTGTTAAAAAAAGACAATTATATATCTCTATCTGATATATATATATATATATATATATATATATATATATATATATATATATATATATATATATATATATATATATATATATATATATATAGACACACACACATATATATATATATGATAGAATAGCAAAACGTATTTTTGCAATGTTTTTCATTTCATCACAGAAAAATTATAGTTCAGAAAATGACGTAAAAATCTAAGGACATTAGATTTGGATTTGGACATACTAAGTCATTTTCTAACCATATTTTGATTACTTTGAATTTTAGAGTTCCAAAATAATGCTAAGATGTAGCCGACTATATCTTGTGTAATATATTAACAACATCGGCTTCTTGATAATGACTGAAATGGTCGAAAGTACGAGAACAAAAACGTGAATTTTGGACAATTAATCCTCAATTTTCATTTGGATGTATTGTTTGATTATTCGAAAATTAGAAAAAATACAATTAAAAATTGAAACAGAAAGTCCTTGTCGTTTGAAAATAGTACTTAGTCCTTGTCGACGCGTTTTGTCATCCGACTTTATGAAGGTGATAAACAAAAGCGAAATGTTTTAATATTAAATTTTAATATCCAAAAAGAGGCTTTCGCAGGAGCTTCTTTTAAAATTTTTGAATGAGTGACAGGTAGGTTTAACATTCTTTTAAAAAAATGACTTATATCAAATGGATATAAGGGCACTACAACACAAAATTCAGCCTAATTAACACAATTTTGTGTCATATTTTGCCTGCTTTTTGTGTCTGAACTTCCAACTTCGAATAAAGTTAGCAAAGAATCTTCGAGACAAATATTTCTCCTTCTTATAGTAAGTTCCTAAATATTAAAATGTAACCGTAAGTTCTATGCTAACAGTTTCTTCTATCGCACTTCTCGCTTGTGAAACTCTCTTTCGGTTACTTGCTTTCCACTCAAGTTTGATCTTCAAAAATTTAAATGCAATGTCAATCATTATCTTTTGTCTTCCTAATTCCTATTCTTTTTTGTTCTCTCCTATTTTTTATCATATTATCTCATACACAGTAACCCCTTACGTCTTCGTAGCTTTATTGCCTTGATTGGGTTGAAATGATTAAAAAAAATATAGTCCAAAACTTTGAGAATATTCCTTATATTAAATATTTTTAGGACAACTAAATACCTTGCTGATGTTAACAGAATATTTCAACCGATGCATTCTTGTATGTTTTCTAAGGAAACCTCTTTCTTCCGAAAAAAAATCAATAGAAATTGGTAATTAATATTAATAGAAGAAATATGGAATACACTTGCTAAGTGCTAAAGGTCCGACTGGCTGAAACTTTGTTAACAATTTCAAATATACGAATTAATAGATCAACAAAATAATCAAAACATCAGCAAGCTAATGTTGCCTATGTTTTCCCTTTTTCTATTTGTTCTATCTTTCTGATAATAATAATAATAATAATAATAATAATAATGCAAACAACAAATATAATGGTTACACAACCACTACATTATCGCGCCAATTAATGTATTTGATAATAGTTCAATTAAATCACATATCATCAACTGAATAGTATTTCTTAATTTGAATTTTAAATCGTTTTTTCTTTGCAAAATTGTTTGAACTTTAAAACTCTCAACTTATAAACTTAGACTATAGTTTGTTAAACCATATATTAATATACAAGTTCCAGTATCCAGATGGATTAGCAGTTATTTTTTAATCGATAGCATTCGTGTGTGTGTGTGTGTGTGTGTGTGTGTGTGTGTGTGTGTGTGTGTGTGTGTGTGTGTGTGTGTGTGTGTGTGTGTGTGAGAGAGAGAGAGAGAGAGTGTGAGTGAGAGATTCGTTGAGCGCAGTTAAAGATAATGCCGATGTCGTATTTGTCTTGGACTCAAAGCAATCAACTATCTTTATTCTCTGTCAGTTTTGGTTTTTGTTACTTTTTAATTTCCGCATCTGCGTATTATACTTTTTATTTCGACGCAACTATCATCAAATCGACTTTTCTTCGTGTATTAGCGTGTCCTGCATTAATGAAAAATAATCATCAATTGTAATATCCGGGACTTCTATTTCCGGTTCTGTTTTTAAAGTCCAGGTATTGGATTATTTTATTACTTTTACAAAATGATAATTACAACCTCAAAATATTGATTATGTTTATCGTCTCGGCTGTTTTCACTTGTTCTAAGCCTCAGAGCGCAGTTCGTAGTAAACTGCGTGTTGATTTCGCGTTTGAATTTAATTCGTTTCATTTTTTTAGCCCGAAAAAATGTACACAAGTTGCTGATGAGCTTATCTTTTTTTTTAAATCGATTTCATCTCAAGCAAGACAGTAAAGGCCATTAAGATACAAGGGGTTACTCGATGTAGAAGAATTAGAAACAGGAACATTACTAATGAGCGAGAACAAGAAGAATAATCAGGATGACAGTATGTAACGATTGACATTTCATTTACATTTTTGAAGATTAAAGTTGGTTGGAAAGCATGGAGTTGGAAGGGAATACCGCAAGTGAGAAAGTGCAAGAAAAGAAACTGTTAACATAGAACTTTCAGCTCTACTGTAAATTGATGAGATCTCGACGCCAGTCTAATACTGCGCTTAAGTTTTTTTTTTAAATCTGTGCCATAACAAAGAGTTCATCCGAACAAATGGAAGTATTTATAGAAAAGACACAGGAGGCAACCTTACGGCGGTGGGAACATAACTGAAGCCGAGTCGTCAGATCAGGACCGATAATATGGCTGATTCTTCTTTGGATTTTATCAATAAGCAAAGCTGGAGCGCCGAACCATTCTAAGTATGGACAAATGGTTATTAATGAAAATTAAAACAATGTAGGACCAAGGTTAGATCCCTGGGATACGCTAGCATTAGTACGAAAGGATCTAGATGAGTGGCCGTTCAGGATAACTTTCATTTCACGATTTGATAGGAAACACTGGAGCAGTTCAAAAATGTGTCCAGAGACACCGTATTTTTTCAGCTTGTGTTGAAGACTTGTATGCCAAACCCTGTCAAAGGATTTCGAGATGTTCAAAGATACAGCTCGGGCTTCACCGTTTTTTTATCTGGAACTTGATAAACTCTTTCCGCAATTACCGTCAATTCATCAAGAGTTGACCTGGAAAAAACGAAAACTACATAGCTTGTCTGAAAAAGGCCCTGCAATGAGTTTCAATAAACTATCTAGTATAATTCGGCACTTATACATCATGCTGGGGCTACTGAATGGTTTTTGGTTGGTGGGGTTGTTTATTATTCGAACCAGAGAAACATGTGAACAGGAGAGAAGAGTTTTAAAAAATTGGAACGAAAAAGAAAATTATACTTACGATTCGAAAGAGTTGAAATTTATGGGACACATAATGAGGCTTGGAGAATTTAACACTCACAAGACATATTCAAGGCGAGATGGACAGATGGAAACGGTGAGTAACCTACTAAACGAGTAGGAGGAGGTAAACGTTGCAAATAAAAGGAAGTTGTGGAGAGCCATAATCACTCACACCCTGAAAGGACACGTTACATAAAAGAAGAATTAGTAGGGTTGGTATTTACTTGGTTTAATTTAGTACAGTCCGTAGTTAC